GTTTAATTTTTGAGAAGTTAGACCGGGGGGTTGACTTTTTGATATCGGGGTCGGAATCCGATTCTGAAAATTGGAATACCTCTGTTATGTCATTTATGAGTTGTGTGAAAAATTTGAGGTCAATTGGACGTGATTTGATAGGTTCCGGAGTCGTTTGTAGAAATTAAAAATTTCAAAGTTCATTAGGCTTGAATTGGGGTGTAATTCATGGTTTTAGCATTGTTTGAGGTGATTTGAATATTCGACTAAGTCCGTATGATGTTTTAGGACTTGTTGGTATATTTGGTTGACGTCCCGAGGGGCTCTGGTGTGTTTCGGATGGTTAACGAGTTGGATTTTTGACGTGGAACTCTGCTGGAATTTTTCTAATGCACCATCTGGTTTCCTTCACCGCGTTCGTGAATGGAGCCTCGCGTTCGCGAAGAGGAACTGAGAGGCTGGCAATATTTGCTCTTCGCGTTCGCGAAGAGAAGCACGCGTTCGCGAAGGGTGGACTGGGTGTGCATCGCGAACGTGAGAGGTGTTACACGTTCGCAAAGAAGAGAGGAGGCAGCTGAGGACCCCAGGCAATTGGTCTACGCGTTCGCGTAGGGGGTGTCGCGTTCGTATAGTGAGGGGGAACAAATCATCACATTCGCGAGGGGTTGAACGCGTTCGCGTAGAAGACATTGAGGCAGAGGCATTTGTGCTTCGCGAACGCGAGGGTGATGTCGCTTTCGCGAAGGAGGAATTTGGACAGGAGCTATTTTGCTTCGCGAACCCGAGGCACTGACCGCGTTTGCGAAGAAGGAAAGCCTAGGCAGTGAGTTTAAGTTCTGAAAATGGGACTTTTCATTTTCAGTTTTTGACGATTTGGAGCTCGGATTTGAGGCGATTTTGGATGATTTTCATAGGAAACAATGAGGTAAGTATTTTTAACTCAATATTAGTTAAATTACCCGAATTCATGGTTATTTTTATCATTTAATTAGTGAATTGAGTTGGGAAAAATTGAAAACCCTCTTGGTTTAAATTGAAGATTTGAGGGTCGAGTTGGGGTCGGATTTTGGTAAAATTGGTATGGTTAGACTTGTGGTTGAATGGGCTTCCGGATTTTATAACTTTTGTCGAGTTCCGAGACATGGGCCCCACGGGCGATTTTTGAGATAATTTTCGGATTTTTATGAAAAATTATTATTTTCTTATGGAATTAATTCCAATGAATTTTATTGACTGAAACGAATTATTTATGGTCAGATTCGAGGCGTTTGGAGACCAATTCACGAGGAAAGGACATTGCGGAATAAGAATTTCACGGCTTGAAGTAAGTAACAGTTTTAAATCTAGTCTTGAGGGTATGAAACCCTGGATTTTGGTATCATGCGATTATTTTGGAGGTGACACACATGCTAGGTGACGGGCGTGTGGGCGTGTACTGAGGGGATTGTGACTTGGTCCGTCCCGGAAAATTATAAAGTTGAATAATTTATTGTTAGCTATATGCTCTCTATGTGTTGATAAAATTTGACTGTAAACCATGTTAGAAATCATGCTTAGGCTATGTGATAGTACTGTTGGGACCCACAAAGGTCGCGTATTTGTTGAATTGCCTGCTAAATGCTATATGTACTCAGTCTTAGTTTTTACTTGCACATTTTATCTCAGTCTCTATTATTATTATTATTATTAATACATCATATCATTATTATTTGGGCTGATTTCATGATTATTGAGAGCCCGAGAGACTGGAGAGATTTATGACTGAGTGAGGCCGAGGGCCTGAATGTGAGATATTGATACTATAGTACGTGAGTTGTCCGTGCGGATCCTTATATTATACTATAGCACGTGAGTTGGTCGTGCGGATCCTTATATTATACTATAGCACGTGAGTTGGTCGTGCGGATCCTTATATTATACTATGGCACGTGAGTTGGCCGTGCAGATCCAGATATTTATATTATGGCATGTGAGTTGTCCGTGTAGCACGTGAGTTGTCCGTGCAGATTATAGCGTTTGGGCTGTAGAAGCCCCTCCGAAGTCTGTACACCTCCAGTGAGCGCGGGTACCTATTGAGTGAGTGATGAGGGCTGGGAGCCCAGTGAGTGATTGTTGTTCTGAGAGGTTGTACTTGAATTCCATTTGTTATTGCATTTAGTTGCTATCTGTCATTGTTGTGAAATTTCTGAAAAATTATTGATATACGGATTACATGAACAGGAACTGTATAAAAATTGATTTGACATTAAATTGCCAGATTTGATAGCATGTCTATTCTTTGTTGGGATTACTGAAAATGAACCATAACTGTGTAGCTCGTTACTATCTTCAGTTCCTTATTTATTATTGTTACTTGCTGAGTTGGTTGTACTCATACTACACCCNATTGCTGAGTTGGTTGTACTCATACTATACCCTGCACTTCGTGTGCAGATCCAGGTGTTCCCGGACATAACGGGTGTTGATTCTTCCGTACAGCTGATTTTTCGGAGATTCAAAGGTAGTTGCCGTATTTTGCCGACCTTGTCTCTCCTTCCCTATCTCTGTATTACTGTACTTTTGGTCTTAGACTATTATAGACCGTACTTTTTCAGATTTGTATTCATATTAGATGCTCATGTACTCGGTGACACCAGATTTTTGGGAGTATTTGTATTTGTATTTGGGAGATTTTGTATTGTATTTAAATATTATATTTTCATACATAAAAAAAATTGTGGTTTAGTGACATTAACGGCTTGCCTAGTATCGAGATAGACGCCATCACGATGGGTGAGATTTTGGGTCGTGACATTGATGTTGAGTTAAAGAGTATAATAATATTTTGGTACATAAAACTTACAGGGGTGTGTAATTAAAGGATAGTGGACATACTATTGTATACCAAATTTCCTACAAATCTTTCTCTATTTTTCTTTTTTAGTTTTACTAAGATAATTAAATTATATATATCTATGACAGAATAATTCAAACAATTAAACATAATAGCTGCGTCCTTACTTATTCTCAGTAAATTAAGATGAGTTAAAATCGTTTACAGTTAAACTTGGGTGTGGCAAGACTTCTATTCAAAAATCAAAAGACATCAGCTTTTGCCTTAACTCATCTTTTTCTAAAGATGTATAGGACTACAAAATCATTGAAAAAGTTGCACATGAATTGGTCGAAACTTTCCCCGTGTGAGTTAAATAGTGTAGGAAGTCTAAAACTAAAAGGAATTGAGAAATTGAAGCACTAAATATTGGGCAAATAATTATATAACTATTCCTAAATATTAGGAAAAAGTGTAAATGATTATTTTGTCTAATGTAAAAATAAAATTTTAAGGGTAAAAAAGGCGAACGACATTTCGTTAAGCGTCTTCGTGCTTTTAATATAGTACTAGTCTACAGGTACGCGCGTTGCGCGTGTACCTTAACTTAATGAGTAAAACCTTTAAAATTATATGAAAATTTGTATTTGAGTAATTAAAAAAATATATATTTTCATGAAAAAGATGACTATTGACCTTATATAGCTAACTCAATAAAGAAAATTATCATATAGAAGTCCTTAATCATCCGTTGGTATGTTCAACTTAGAATTTATTTTGGTTTCATAATTTTATCACTTTAATTTCACATGCCATTATGCTTCCTTTTCAGTTTCAACAAAAATATGCAATCCTTGAAGACTTAAGATGGAAAAAATTTAAAGTATGTTTTGAAGTATTAGCTTAGAAGAAGCTTACTTGAGGATCTGACGTTACCAAAAAAAATAATTATTAGTCTAAAATAAATATTTACTACCCGAGAAACTTATTTACCATCACAATTTAAGATTCTTTTAAAAAAAAAAAAAAAAAAACTCTCTATCGTAGCTTCACAAAGATACCTATTGTCACCTAATAAGAAAAACAAAAGCTTATTTAAAGAGAAAAAAACACGAGAAGGGCTGAAAACGATGTTCAAATTGAATTAAAACAAATATGTTGATTTTTCTATCTTAATAATTTCTTTAAATATAGATCAATTCATAGTAAATTTGATTTAATAAAATTTAAAGAGAATACTTTATTATATATTTTATTAAAAAATTATACTATCAATACATTTCACTGTGTCCTTTATATTACTATCATATTTTGTATAAATTATATGCAGTGTGTAGAAAGTTTGCACAATCATATAACTTATAAGATAATTACATATAATCTCTTTATAAACATAGAATTATATTAAAAATATTACCTAATAACTATCAAAGGTTACAATTTACTAACATTATAAAAAGAATACGAATAATATACAACTTAATCCATATTACAATCACCAATGTATTAACTTAATATAATTATTAATGTCTGCATAATTAGGAATGGGATACCCAAATTTAACTGTATAGATGACATAAAACTAACGGATAATTAGTATGTGGTATATTTTATATATTTATTGGTACAATGATATTAAATTTTAACTAATAAATTTATTGATAATTAAGTTAGTTATTTATTGGTAATGATTAAATTAACTATAACAAAGTAAGAAAAGGAAAAAGAATAACTTGGGAAGAAGAATAATCTCACTACAATACGTTCAACAAATTAAAGCTCTTCCATATTGAAATTCTAAATATTAGGATTTTTTACTTAGTTCAAATAAGGAATGAGTAAAATTTTTATTGTTTTCAAAGCCCTAATATATTAGGAGAATAATTAATGATAATATAGTCCAATGTGAACTCTATTTTTTAAGTATAAAAAAGGTGAACCACATTTCGCTGAGGGTTTTCGTGCTTTTAATATAGTATATAAATAGATTTTGATATTTAATATAAAAATATAGAAATATTTTAATATTTTTTTATTTTTTATTTTAATAATATTAGCTTGAGGTAAATTTAAATTGAGTAATATGATCAAAGAAAATTTACATAACATTGTTGTTACATTTTGATATTATTGATAAATTCCAAAATGCTTCTAAGTTCATAAATCATACTCATCAGCAAACTATAAATATTAAAGGGATGATAACCAAACTCTATAACAAATTATTGATTCCAAAGCAGGACCAGTACTCCAGCCCCCACACTTAACTAATTGAAGTCGAAACAAATGCGGTGTCCGTACTGCTCGGCGGAGCAAGGGCGGTGCACCACCAGCACCAGCGGCAGACCGATAACCGAGTGCACATCCTGCGGCCGTGTAGTGGAGGAGCGATTAACCCAATCCCACCATCTTTTTCACACCCGTGCCCAAGATTCCCCTCTGTGCCTCGCCACTTCCGACCTCCCTACTCTTCCCATCTCCGCCACTAACGACGATGAAGACCCATTTGAACCCACAGGTTTCATCACCGCTTTCTCCACTTGGTCTCTCGAACCTTACCCAGTATTTGCCCAATCCTCCATTTCTTTCGCCGGTCACCTTGCTGAGCTGGAACGAGTACTTGAAACGACGTCGTCTTCCTCCTCCAGTTCGTCTACGTCATCCGTCGTGGTGGAAAACCTTAGGGCTTACTTGCAGATTATTGACGTGGCTTCTATTCTGCGACTGGATTATGATATTTCGGACCACGCGTTTCAGCTCTTCAGGGATTGTTCGTCTGCAACGTGCTTAAGGAATCGGAGTGTCGAGGCGCTTGCTACTGCTGCTCTTGTACACGCTATCAGGGAAGCCCAAGAGCCAAGAACTCTCCAGGTATGTTAATTATGTATCAAGCTCTAAGCTGTGCTTTTGTCTGAACTAATCCAGCTTATTGGTATCTAATTGAACACTTGATAAATATTGCTGTAAGTGATGAATATTAGCGGAGAATATATTGCGTGTACTGTATCATATTGGAAAAAGAGCTAATGTGTTCGGTATGACAGAAAATATCTTCTGGGAAGTTCTAAGTTACTGGAAAATAAAATATTTTCAAACAAAAGGGAGAAACGGCTTTCTTAACTTATTGGTGGAAGTCATTTTTCTTTTCAAGTATCACAACTCTCACTTTCTTATATTTGCTTAAATCAACATGTAGATATCGTTTTCAATCTCGAATGCTAAAAGATTCACCGAACTAGTATTGTTATACCCATGGGCGGAACTAGGTAGAGTGAAGCTTTGTCAGAAAATTACATCACATAAATAGAGTAAAAATAATCTTTTTTGGTTATATGTGAGTTTTTAAATCCCCTTGACATGAAGAAAAATTCAAGTATAGTAGTAAACAGGGTTCAAAGTTGCTTTAGGTCATAGGAATTATGGTTCCGCAACTGGTTATACCTGTCATCCACCTTGTATGATTATCATATGTCACCTATTTTATACCCAACCAACACCAGAAGATTATTCAAAACATGATATTATTAGGTAAAACACTTTTCAGAGTTTCCATGGAAAAGATTTTGTCCGTACCAAATATTGTTACTGTCCCATAGTTTTTAAAAGTATGGATTGTAGTCTCCCTCTATGTTCTTGGACAATCTTTACTTTATGAGCTAGCTTTTGGATTGAGTTAGACCTAAGATCCATTTTCTTGAGAAACACACCAGAATTTAGTTCTCGTCTTATTGTACATTGGTTTATCATTTCAATCAGTAGGTACAGAACTTTGGGTTTCTCATAACATGATCTGATTTCTGTGGAACCTTTGTGACTTCAGCTCATTGGGTGTCACTACTTCTTTTCTGGTTCGCTCATTCAAGCTTATTTCCATCCGAGGGTTTATTCCAATCATGAGAACATTTTACCTTCTCCTAACCTCTCTCTCATTTACTACTTTTCTTCTTCTTTGTTCTTTCTTGTCGGAATTGAAAGAACCCTATGTCTTGGAAAGCAGGGGAAGAGAAGAGAAGAGAAGAGAAAAGAAAAGTACAATGAGGGATAATAGTAAAGAAAAGGTAGGAAATATTTGATGGGCAAGGGAACTTTTCTCTCTCCCTTCTTCCCACTGTACTTTTCCCTTGTCTTCTTAAGACCAGAAAGGGTAGGGAAAATCATGTACTTTTCTTTTTTCCCTTTCTCTTCCCTTCTCTAGTTTGCGTGAGTACAGTCTGCTAAACCTGGAATTACAGCATATTTGCAACAAAAATACCCTATGAAAGTTTGATCATGAGCACTCGATCTGCTGATAATTGTAAAGTGGTTGATAGGTATCTGCTCCCTACCACTTGTTTAATTGCTATAAGCCAAACAAAATGGTCATCTCCTGACACCTTATGAATCAAAAGTAGCAGGATATGCTGACCTTGCAGGTTACTATCGTTGTCGCTTCATTGTCTTAGAAACAACTCTTATGGTTTAGGGTTAGTTCATGTGTTTAAACCGATCAACTTTGTTGATACTTGTTATAGATAGATAGTCTCAAGATTGCAGAATTGCCATTCTTGATACCATGCTATGCGAATATTGGTATATGGTAACATGAGAAACCTTTGGAACACCTGGATCTGGGTCTGCCCATCTAACTGTACCTTGTATACCTTGTTTAACTTAAAATAATCAAACATTATTTTGTAAATCAAACTGAAATGTTGTCTTTTGAGTTTTATATGCTTATCTTTTGTATCCGCATGTTAATCTGGCATCCATTTCATAAACTTTTAAATGCATGAGAATCTGATGTTTAAAAGCATCTCTAATTTGAATTATTTGATAACTAGGAAATATCGGTTGCAGCCAATTTACCTCAGAAGGAAATTGGGAAGTACATAAAGATTCTTGGAGAAGCTTTACAACTCAGTCAACCTATCAACAGTAATTCAATATCAGTCCATATGCCAAGGTTTTGTACACTTCTTCAGCTGAATAAATCTGCTCAGGTACCTAGCCGGTTCATTGATAAGCTAGTAATAAGTTCGCCTTGGTTAAATCTCGAGGCTAGTGAGATTAACAAATTAATCAACTAGTATCTAAAAGAAAAGTTCTCTCTTTTAGCTATCAGTTTGTTTGAGACCCATAATAAATCGTGTCATGTTGGATAGTTCATTGTGTTTATTTATTTCATCAAGTTAGTGTTTACTTATACTTAAAGGTTCCTTTACATATACAAAATCTTTTGGCTTCATCTTGCACAATAATTGCCTCAGGAGCTGGCAACTCACATTGGCGAGGTAATCATCAATAAATGCTTTTGCACACGAAGGAATCCTATTAGCATCTCCGCTGCTGCTATATATTTGGCCTGTCAACTGGAAGACAAGCGGAAAACCCAGGCTGAAATATGTAAAGTGACTGGACTCACTGAGGTTACTCTTCGTAAGGTGTACAAGGAGCTTTTGGAGAACTGGGATGATCTCCTACCATCAAGTTATAAACCTGTCGTTCCACCAGAGAAGGCTTTTCCTACAGCTACCATTGCTACAGGCCGTTCATCGACACCTAGAGTTGATTTAGTTGAAGGAACTTCGTCTGAGAGGGACAAGCCTGCTAAACTAGGCGATTCATTAGATATATCCCCCCAGATCAGAGGCAAGGAGGACCCCCATAGCAAAGATAATGCTCATACAACTCAAATATCTTGGCAACCACCATTTTGGAAAGCTCAAGTTCCTGTTGAAAGTGGCGTTACAACAGCTACAGAGAAGAGTCAAAGTGCTACTCAAGAAATGGAGATCGACTTATAATACAAATCTCAGGAAGATGCACCATTGCACCAATAGAAAAAACTGCTTCTAGTTCTTTGAGGTTAGCCAGTTTTCTTGTCGGCTGCAGCTTCAGCCTTCAGTATCTCCTGGCTTTTATCCAATACCCAAGCTGTACCATCACAAAAGGTTGCCTCTAACCCTGCAGATAGAGGAGCCATTAAGTGATGTCAGCATAAGGAGCCATATGTAGTCGGATAAACAGATAAACAGCTGCTTTGGGAAGAGGACGGGGAAGAGGACGAGGGCCTTGTGAGGGAGGAATAAGGAATTGTTCATACAAAAATACCTGTGAGTAAATTTCAGTCGGTACTCTCCTGGAGCTTTGAGCGGCCAGTTGCTTAAAGGGGAATTTCTGCATACTCAAACAAGTCTTATTTTGCCTTCTACTTATCGTAATCCTTTCTAGTAAGCCACCGTTAGAATGATTATGATATTAACATTTTATTTTGTTTCGATTTGTCGCTATTTCGTTGTAGACTGTGTGCACCCTGTAGTAAGTTGTTAATGATTTAAGACTACCAAGTTAAAGATATGTCGGCTTTATATATGCTTCTTCATCTATATATATCGACTAGTCTCAAGGTACATCTTGTCTCGATGAGTATAAATTTATTTAAAAATTATGCTTGAGTTATAAATAAAAGTGTAAGTTCCCGAATGATTAGTCAATAAATTAACTTAAAATTTGTTCCAAATTTATAGTATCATAACTTCAATTTCGTAAGTTATCATACTTCTTTTTCAGTTTCAGCAAAAATACATAATCCTTAAAAATTATATAGTGCTGAAGGAAAAAACATAAAACATAACATGCAATTAATAATTTGCCAATTTCAAATAAACACAAAACCAAAGTGCAACAAAAATCAGAAAAATACATTCAAAAAGGATATGTAAACAAGCTAGTGAAGGAAAGGAGTTCAAATTTAATATGAAAATATATTATAGTGCATATATACAGTTCAAAAGTAGCATGGAAGGAATTTATATGGTTATTATACATTATTCATATAAGAACATAATTTATATAAGGTTAAATTTTAGTTAATTTTGGTTAAATTTAATTAATTTCAAAATCTTAAAATGTAAGAACTTAGATCAAATAAGGATTAAGGATTCAATTATATCCTTTCCCTTTTTTTCCCTCTCCTTTTTAAAAAATCAAAATCAAAATCCCTTAATCTACGCCCTGAATCTCCATCTTCTCTCTTCCCACCATTGCCAACAGCTTTATATTATTAAAAAATATTTAGAAATTGCATGATAACTATATCATAATTGTATTTGAATTGTATCAGCACATCAATGCCTAAAACATAATTGTATCATACTTGTATCACAATTGTATCTAACTTGTATCCAGTACAATAATACCCAAAAGAATACCTGATACAATACTAATAAATTAATATACAATTATCATACTTGTGATACAAACAGTAAAATTCGTCACAAACTCACAACCGCTCGTTACAATATACAATTATCATACATTTGTAATACAATTCCTGCAACAATTATGATACATATACAATTATAATATAATCGCGATACATTTCTGAAATATTGTGATACAGTTATGATCTTTATCTTCTTCAAGTTTCAACCACAACTCTACACTAAAAATCTAATATAATCGTATTATAATTGTATTAGCATTTTATCGAGTATTGTTTCGGGTATTGATGTATCATATACAAGTCACATACAATAAATATTTTAGAAAGAAAGAAAACAAGATTCAAAACTTACCCACAACTTGATTCTAGAGCAATATTCCGAATTTCGTCTACATTGTATCAATAAGAAATAGAAATTTTGGGTGATTAGTAAGAAAGAGAGAAAATGGGTTTGAAAACCTTAGGAAAAGGAAAAGAATTGGAATTTTTTTTGGGAGGG